TTGTTTACTTTATTATACCTTGCCAAACAAATTGAAGAGAAATTGCAGTAAAAAGAGGTCGAGAATTCGATTCCTATTTCCTTGTCATATGATGAGAGCTCAAAAGAAATGAATGAGGATGTAAACATGTGTGAACAAAAATGTGAAAACAAAGATGAGGAATATTTGAGTGAAAAAGAAGGAAAGATTGAGAAAAAAAGTGAAGATGAGGATGAAGAATTGTCTTATGAACTTTGTGAGAAAGAGAATGAGGGAAAAGAACTTGAGAACCAAATAATCTTTGATTCAAGTTTATTGCATGTTCATGAACGTAATTCAAGGATTGAGAATGGGTTTGGAAGCGTGACAAAGGGACATCAAAAGTTAAATGCATTTGTGGTAATGTTGTGCCAAGTTCAAGGAAACATGGGATCACACACTTCCGTTGATGCAGACATTCAATTCATACGTTGGGAAATTTACTCATTTCCATTTGACCGAGGCAAGTTTGATTCGAGGACGAATCTTCTCGAAGAGTGAGGGAATGATGAGGACACGACCCAAGTAAATTAAAATATCACTATGTCGGTCCAAAAATATAAAGAAGAAGGTCTTAGAAGGCTCATTGAACTTGATCATCATTGAAATGAAGTCATATAATTAAAATGTAGTTATTTTAGTTAATTAAAATGCATTTATGTTAAATTTAATTAGTGACCTTTTGTTTTCTTTATTTCTCTGTTACTAGTTCAAGGGAGATGAATGTTCTTTAATGCCTTGTAAATAGTCTTCTACAAAAAGGAGGCTAAAACATCATCTTGTAGGGAGAACTTTGGAGATTGAATCAAGAGAAAATGTTTAGGCATTTTGTTGTCTCTCTTGTGATTTGAGAGATGTTCTTTTAGGCTTATCAAGATATCTTCCAATCTTGTGGTGTCATCCATTCTTTATCACCTAAGACCAAGGTGTGACGGAAATATCTTTATACAAAAACATAAAAATAATCCCAAATCCAACCCCTACATCAACCAATTCCATCTCCAACACCCATAAACCGTAATTGTTGTTCCTGCTATTTTGGTGAGGAAAAGATCGGGCAACCGGAGGAATCTTTGGTGAATCTAATCTTGAAATCATCAACAAAGATCCACATCAGTTAATGATGAGGACACGACCAAAGTAAATTAAAATATCACTATGTCGGTCAAAAAATATAAAAAAGAAGGTCTTAGAAGGCTCATTGAACCTGATCATCATTGAAATGAAGTCATATAATTAAAATGTAGTTATTTTAGTTAATTAAAATGCATTTATGTTAAATTTAATTAGTGACCTTTTGTTTTCTTTATTTCTATGTTACTAGTTCAAGGGAGATGAATGTTCTTTAATGCCTTGTAAATAGTCTTCTATAAAAAGGAGGCTAAAACATCATCTTGTAGGGAGAATTTTGGAGATTGAATCAAGAGAAAATGTTTAGGCATTTTGTTGTCTCTCTTGTGATTTGAGAGATGTTCTTTTAGGCTTATCAAGATATCTTCCAATCTTGTGGTGTCATCCATTCTTTATCACCTAAGACCAAGGTCTGGCAGAAATATCTTTATACAAAAACACAAAAATAATCCCAAATCCAACCCCTACATCAACCAATTCCATCTCCAACACCCATAAACCGTAATTGTTGTTCCTGCTGTTTTGGTGAGGAAAAGATCGGGCAACCGGAGGAATCTTTGGTGAATCGAATCTTGAAATCATCAACAAAGATCCACATCAGTTAATGATGAGGACACGACCCAAGTAAATTAAAATATCACTATGTCGGTCCAAAAATATAAAGAAGGTCTTAGAAGACTCATTGAACCTGATCATCATTGAAATGAAGTCAGATAATTAAAATTTAGTTATTTTAGTTAATTAAAATGCATTTATGTTAAGTTTAATTAGTGACCTTTTGTTTTCTTTATATCTATGTTACTAGTTCAAGGGAGATGAATGTTCTTTAATGCCTTGTAAATAGTCTTCTATAAAAAGGAGGCTAAAACAACATATTGTAGGGAGAATTTTGGATATTGAATCAAGAGAAAATGTTTAGGCATTTTGTTGTCTCTCTTGTGATTTGAGAGATGTTCTTTTAGGCTTATCAAGATATCATCCAATCTTGTGATGTCATCCATTCCTTATCACCTAAGAACAAGGTGTGGCAGAAATATCTTTATACATAAACACAAAAATAATCCCAAATCCAACCCCTACATCAACCAATTCCATCTCCAACACCCATAAACCATAATGGTTGTTCCTGCTGTTTTGGTGAGGAAAAGATCGGGCAACCGGAGGAATCTTTGGTGAATCGAATTTTGAAATCATCAACAAAGATCCACATCGGTTAGCTATCAATGGTGGGATTGTTAATTGTTATCTTCACTGTCTGGCATTTCGTCGAGCACCTTGTATGCATCCCGACCCTCTCTTTCTTCTTGGGGTGGATTAATATTTACAAAGGTGAGGAGATTCAGGCAGTCATGTAGAATCTCCAGTTCTGGGATCTGATTATCCTATGACAAAGATGAAAGCACAACATAAACTCATCCTAGATTTTTCTTTCAGAGACAAAACAAATCCTTTTGTTCAAGAAACTGTGGACTTTGATCTATTAACTTTTGGGTATGAATTCAGTGTTGAATCAGGCAGGAATCCAGTGAAGGCTCATTGTGGAGATACAAGAAGAATTATACACAGATACACTAAGCTTTATCATCAGGATAGTTTTAATTTCTTGGGTTTCGATCTGGATTAGTTTTTAGTGAAACCTAGGTAGAGTTGTGCCACATGTACTAATGTTTCCAGAATAATGTTTCTCAAGGCATGGAGTTCAGACACCGATGTTGTTGATGGAGAAGAAAGAGAAAAGCCGCCATTAAAGCAAGGGAAAAGCAGCAGAGCTCCGCCATTAGGTCTTCCAATGTTAGGTCTCGCTGAGAACGGGAATGAAAAGGGGAATAAGGAAGGAGATCTGAAAAGACGAAATTACCCCCTATCTAACAGGCCATCTAACGGGAATATTGACGGAGGACCAAAATTGTCCTCGTCACAATAATAGTGTCCACAAATTGTCTGATTTTTTAAAAATGGACTAAAATTGTCTGTGCCACTATAAATCTAGGACAAAAAATGTCTTTTACTCTAAATATACTCAATCAACAACCATGGCGCTAATACCACTTTGTTGGGAAAAATCCAACTTCCTGCAACAAATGAAAATCAGATAAACAACACGGTGCACAAAGACGAGATAACACAATAGCCCAAAATAAACAACAACACAATGGACACACGATTTACTTGGAAAACCCCAAAACATAGGGAAAAATCACGGGACCACCACCAACAAAGTTTCCACTATAACAAATCTGGGGTACACAGGTTTAGGCTATCGCACGAGCCATACACCGATAAGTCATCAAATACATCAATTCTAGGTCAAATACATTCAATCAGATTCACAGGTTAAATGGAATAATATCTTGTATTCAGAATATTCAACCACCACGAATAAAATAAAATGAATATAAAAGTACGAGAATATCCCAAAGATGCTTTGAATAAGTACAATCTGACCTCTAAATATTTGATGAAGAAATCACCCCAAGAGCTTAGACAAACTCACGGCAAATCATCAAACTTGCGTCAAAGATGAAGAAAAGAAGATGAATTCTTCCTTGCTGCTGCCACCGAACTGCCTTCACTGCTGCCCTCTCTCACTTCTGTCTTTCTGTTTTTACCTTCAATTCTTAGTCTCATTGCCGAATGGATATATATATCATATGAAGGAGAAGAATGACTTGCTCCTTTTATAGCTTCACTACTTGAAAATGAGAATTTATGAATACAAAGGGAATTTGTAAAGGTAAAGCAAATTCACTTTCCACCATTTCACATGCTCCCAACAATAAAAGCAAAATGACTTTTCTTCTTCATCTACCCAAACATCTGTTGCTCCAACTTTCACCCATTTCTCATAATCCTTAATATTATTATATATACTAGTTATCCACCCGTGCGATGCACGGATAAAATATAAAATGTATATATATATATATATATATATATATATATATATATATATATATATATATATATATATATATATATATATATATATATGAAAATAAAACAGATAATAGCAAAACTCAAACAATGTTGATTTGTTTAACATTTTTAAAAAATGATTGATTTTAATATATAAAAATGTATGTAACAAAAATAACATACAAAGTTTATATATTATAAAACACATCTTTATATACAACATTTGATGTTGAAGAAACTATTCTTCATTGTCATTGCAAATAAGTAATTTAAGATAATTTGAATTGCTAACTCCGGATAAAGCTACATAAAGTTGTTCGTGAACAAAAACAAATCTTTTCAATAATAGCCCAATAGTAAATGACGTTTATCCTTGACTCTTGTTAATTATCATAGCATACAACAACTTTCGTGGGAATTGCCTCCACTGAAACTTAAATGGTAACTTTAGATCTGATGGGGTCAATAACAACCGCAATCAAGAAACCTCTTCATCATCACAATTTTCTAAATCAATTCAATACAAGTAACATTTAATTAATAATTATGTAATTAAGTAATATAGTTAAAATAAAACTATTAATTCATAAACAATTTATAAGAAGGGGATAATTAAATTAACAATATATATTCGTAACCATCGGCCCATTTCTGGCAGGAATCCAAAAACACGTTCGTAGGCCCATTATTTATATAAATATATATTTAAACAATTAATTTTTCATACATGGTCCAGATAAGCTCTTCTATTTATCTAGCCCAGGCCAAAACTTGACTTATGGCCCACACATAAAACCCAAAAAACCTAGATTCAGACATTGTTGTCTTCTTTCCTCTCTTCTAGCTTATGCCGTTTCTCTCTAAACTTTCTCTACCCATTCTGGAAACTTCACGACAGATTGGTTGCTCAATCTGTAATCCTTCTCCTGGTCTTTGAAACTCACTATTTTCACCATTCCCTTTGTACCTCTGACCTTCGATCTAATCGGTTCACAAATCGTGACCGGTTGCACGGAAGAAAACCCTAACTTTGTCTTCATCAAACTCATGTATATCAAACACCACTCAACAAAAGGATCGGTTGAAGATTTTGGAGAACGGATCTGGAAGAAAGCAAACAACACAATATATCCAACAAAAACTACGACATTTGTAAGGTAATAGTTCGATTTTCCCGATTTTCACTTATAGAGTATTTTTCTGTTTATACGCATGTGTATTGTTCGTTTTTAGGAATATTATATACATGCTATAATTTTTTGATGTAGAAATATAATAGAATATGAAAACACAGTTAGTTCTAAATTATTATTTTTTTTCCTAATCTCTGCTGTGTCTAATATTTTTGATAATATGTGCCTTTTTAATTTTTTTTATACGCATGCATATTCTGGAAAAAAAAAGTTCAGGGTTATTATTATGTTGTATAGATTTAACCTGTCATGTGTGTAATTTATATGTCAGATTTTATTCTGGGTTTATTTAGATCCACATGCCATGAATATTTTAAAATTGATTTATTTAACTGTTAGTGATTAATGTTATGGAATCCAAATTTATAAATTTCTTTTCTCTCAGAAATGTATGTGTTTCTTTATCTGAGAAAGCTATTTTTTTAACAAATTTATTTTCTGTTCAAATGCATGGCATTCATATGTATATTCGAAATTTATATTTATTTTTTCCTCACAAATGTTTGAACTTCTTTTTATTATTTTCATATTTTGTATTGATTTAAATTTTATTAACTAAAATTTTATTTTATTTTATGTAAAATAATGTTGCTAACTATATTTTTTTTCCAAACTAAGTTGGGCAGGACTTCAAACTGTCAATTACAATCCCATTGAACCGAATGGAAAAACACAAAATTAAAAGAAAAAAAATTGCAAAATATTTTTGTTCCGTTTTTATTATTTAAAGTGGAATTGTTTTTTTTTATAAAACATAAAAACTACCTAAATACATTCAACTTAAAAAAAAACCTGCCCGTAATGATCTTTTAAATTTTTTTAAACAACTTTGTTTACATCTACATATGTATCTCAGTATATTATTAAAAAAAATGAAGACAGTAAATCACAGATTGCTAAAATACCTATCTGCATATTAACTATATAGCAACAACCAAGAACAAAAATTTGACTTTAAAAATGGAAGTCTTTTTAATGATTTTAATCACTCTGAATTGCATTTTTTTGCTAGAATTGACATTAGTTTTTTTTAAAATCTTTGGTGCAGATTTCACAGACATATGTTAAGCAAATGAGGAACATTCTGCAAATGAAATATTAAGTCAATATTTCATACAGTTTGAATGTAGAACAGCAGGTATGATACGTTGTACCTTTATCTTCAGCATCATATTTTCTTTTTCCACGTATGGTAGTTAACCCCGTCAATTTCTTCATTATTCTTGCAATTCTTTACTATGCAGTCACATCAATTGTAGATTCTTTGAGAATGAATAGAGAATGTAGATCCTAGTTTTTAAATGAGATGTATATATAGATACCAAGTTAGAGAGAATTGAAAAGTCACTATCAAACATTAGTACATTAAAGTCAAAGCTTACCATTAACAATTAATGCTTGATAGTAGGGCTAGGTGTATATGAAAAGTAGTAGTATTATATGTATTGAATATTGTGTAACTTGTATTGTACTCAACAAAGGTGATGGCTGTTTCTGAGAATTTAAATAACCAATAATGATTTCAGTATTATATCAGATTTGTTCTCCCTTTTTTCTGCATAGATAGATTAACAATAACAATTTGAAAAGTCACTAAAATTGAAATTAAGAAAAGTGGAATAAAACCACAAACCATGTATATTATTTACCATGCAAATCAAATTCAATAACTAAGATTTAGTGATAATATTAACTCCTGATCAACATGCATGTGTCTTTCTAGTACTAACAGAAATGTTTTACAAATATGGTGTAGGTGCTACAGAATTATGAGACACATGCATACACAAACCAGAACATGGTGCAAATCAAATAGTAAGTGTAAATTTGCTAATGCTTGAATTTAAAACACATGCTTCCCTTGTACCTTAATCTTCATCTTTGTGTTTTTTCTTTCTACATGTGCTAAATATTTTTCATTGAAGGTTCTGAAGAATGTAGTTTAAGTGATACCTGTTTGTGTTTTGCATGGAAAAGGCAGCATAAAACCATAAATAGCTTACATGAAATTAAAACAACCATTACATACTACTTTTTAACTTTTTTAGCTACTGCAACAAATGCAGTTTCCAGAACATAAGCTTCCAAAAACAACCCTGTCCATACTGGAAGTGGTTAACAGTACACTACAACAAATCCATTCATCAAAACATAACCATAAAAATACAACACTAAACACACAACACAAACCTAAACATCTAGTCTTAGTACAATCCATTTGGGCAGTAAGTAATGACGTAAAATTTGAATTTAAGAAAATGGAAAGAAAAGAACTAACCTGCTAATCTTTTGCTTGATTATGATTGGTTTCATTTTGGAGCTCTAGAAGTCTTGCATTTGGAACTTTGGTGTAAGTTTAAAATCCTCCATTTAAGCCTTAAATCTAATATAATGTTATTATCTACCAAAAAAGTGGTGTCATTTACTGCTCTAACCTTCTACTTGATAGATTGTTATGGTAGTGTGGGTGCAGTGTTAAGTGCTTAACTCTTTACATTTTATTTTATTTTTTTTTTTGCTTCAAGGTTGAATTTTTAAGTAGTTCAGCTTATCTCTGCTAAGAGATGAGTGAATTAGTTCCTCCATCATGATTCTGGCATAATCTTCTAACTGATGCATCTTATTAGTTTGTGAGAAAATTAATTATAATTCAACAAAAAAAAACATAGACATGTTTCACTCTTAAATGCCATATATATATATATATATATATATATATATATATATATATATATATATATATATATATATGTATATATATATATATATGTATATATATATATATATATGTATATATATATATATATATGTATATATATATATATATATATATGTATATATATATATATATATATATGTATATATATATATATATATATATATATATATATATATATATGTATATGTATATATATCACCTTATAGAGAACTCTGAACCCACTATCAAGGATTACAATAGGGTACTTAATGTTTACTGTCAATTGGTACTCATGCTGGTAGAGTAGTAGGGCTAGATCTAGGGGTAAAGTTAAAATGTTGTGTGTATTGGTTATTGTGTAACTTGTAGTCAACTCAAACACACATTACATCATTTTTTTGTCCTCATTACATTTTTCAATTCAAATACTAACAATCTACAATTAGATATAAATGATGATAAAGGAGTGTGATGCCTTTTTTTTTTTTTTTTTTTTTGTTAGTTATTGTCTTATGATACAACTGATGTATTATAAGCTAATTATTAGGAGTTCACCAGAAGCCATATCAAGAGAACAAATACAATATAAAAAACTTATCATATATATATATATATATATATATATATATATATATATATATATATATATATATATATATATATATATATATATATATATATATAACACAAATACTATACTCTAGATTATAAACAATCTAAAATTACATGCAAGCGATGATAAAAGAATCCATGTTTTTTTTGTCTTTTTCTGATTAAAGTGTTCTAATTAATTTTAAACCTTTTTTTTTTCACTTTTTGTTTCTGATTCAACATAGATAAGAGGATTGAGAGAAGTTTACCATCCTTCCAAGCAGCTGGAGCTATCAATATGCTGAGGCAGCGGGTTGGCGTACTGTGGCAGAGATACTGTGGAGGGTAATCGCCCTTGGAGGGTATCCTTGAGGGTAACCATGGCTTGGGCAGGTAACCGGGCAGAAGGAATCCTTGGGATATCCTTCTAACAAATAACCTATTCCAGAAACTCAAAAATCCATCAGATTTGTTCTGAAAAATGGCAAATATACGATTCAGTCGAAGAAGATTACTGAAAAAAAGCTTACCTTGAGGAGGCGGCACACCGACGGGAGGTGGCCCCTGATAGTTCCGCACACAACGCGAAGCTGCACACCAACCACCTCGGACATCTTCTTCATTGATCGCATAATATGAAATTTGTTTTTACAGTTTGCATTTGAATAGAACTTGAAGTCTCTAAACATGTATCTTCTATATATAAGCAAGCAACTAAGGTAGTGAATAGGCCTGTAGAGGAGGAGATAACAACTTTGAACGCGCAATAGGCCACTCCTCTACAAATATAGCCTGACACCATACCAACCCTGCAAACACGCAATAGGCCACTACCCTACAAATATAGCTTGACACCATACTCTTCTGGTCAAACACTAACGCCAAAAAAAAAAAAAAAAAAAAAAAATCTAAACGCTGTCATTTATTATGGGCGGGAAAATGGATGAATCTGATTGGCTAAAATTTAGTGGCTTTTATATGTATATAGATAATATAAAAATAATTAAGACAACAAAAATATAGTGTATACAAATTGGCTTGGTACTAATATGAGCTATTTACCACATAGGAGGGACGCTCATCCCAATAGTATGCTGAGCTCGTTCAATAAGCTAAGTAAATGTTACCATTCAACATTTCTTCTTGATTTATGAAATGAGCATAGCTATCTAATTTGACAAATTTGGAATCCTTGGATCTTAAAGACAATATATTCACTAGGTCGCTCACAACACAAGGTGAAATGTTATCATTCAACATTTCTTTAGATTTCACTAGAATCGCATTCGATTTCTCATAGATCAAGAAAGCCTTTTAAAGTTGAAGAAGCTACATCACCTAGATTTAAGTGGAAATTTTCTCCGTATGAAGGATATTCTAAAGTCTCTTTGCAATCTTGTGGTGCTTACATTCTTATCATTAGAGTCAAATGAAATAGAATGGAAGGAATGCTTTTTAGTGATGGTGAGTAGTACAATGGCTCTGTTTGGTAAAATAGTTAGTCTATAGTCAATTTTGACATATTTGACCACTATTAGCTATTTGACTTAGTTAAACAATCAATATGAGTATTTGATTAATTAGTTTTTTTTAATAACTTATTGCTTCAAAATGCTAAAATTCAAAAAACTGCTCAACTTATTGATTAATTAGTATTTGATTAATCCAAG